TCGGAGATCGATCCCCTGGACGACAGAGGGAACTTCAAAAGACTCTGAACGGGCTGTGGGGAAGGCCAGAAAATATTAATAGCCTTCCCCTACTAGTCGGGCTGTGTGATGGGGAGAAATGTCTGAAGTTGACCTGCACCTTGGCTCTTTCCCCTTGCTGAGGTCGTCGGGTCGCCGTCCTGACCTCCCCAGTTCAGTTCGGGCGCTCCCTGTCGCACGCTGCCACCGCCACCCTCTTCCTCATTTCTCCGGTTTTGTGTCTTTATGGCACTCCGTGGGAAATGCTTTGGGATTGGGGACGAAAGTAGCTAGGTTGCTCGTTTCCTTCTTAGTTACCCAGCCAAAAGGGCCTAGTCGTCTCCAATGTTCCTCCAGTAGCAGGGCGCAGCCACCGTCCCCAGTCTTTCTGTCGTCGGGAAGTGCATCCTGGCCAGGTTCGGGTGTTCACATCAACCGAGTCCAGAACCGGACTATGAAGAGTGAAATCACCCCGCGACGGCTCAGGCTATCGGAAACCCACTGTGCGTTTTTTCAGGGAGAATTCCTGGAACCACGTCTAGTCATTCTGGGACACCTAGGTGTAGATGGGTGTAAGAGTGCGGACACCTGCTGCACAGACGGGGCAGGCTGAGGGTCGCAGGCTGCCTGGAGCAGCAACCGCTGTGACTCTGAGGTCCGACGTCTCTCGGTGCTGATGGGGACAGTCTCCCAGGAGACAAAGGTGAGAGGCCCTTCACACAGAAACTTGTCCCACAAACCCGCGTTGTTCTGGGTGCCAACCATCAACCTCCCAGGGACGCAGGCATCATCGGACTCGGTCGGTCCTCCGATGCTCAGGCCACCGGAGAAGCCACTTGAGCTCCAACCGGAGACATCAGTTCAGCCAGCTACCTGGTGACGAGCTCCGGATGCAACTGGGTGGCTGGTCCCCAGGCGTTTCGAGGACTGGGATTCCAAAGGACGCGCCTCCCTTGCTCCCCTCAAGCCTCCCTTCCTTTGGCTCCTTTCCGGGCCAGGTTTTCCTCATGTAAGTCTGGCTCTTAGATCGAGTGCGATGCCGGGAGGTAGAGGCACCTTGCAAACCGCGGGGGTAGCGGCTCTACGTGAACCAACCGCGCCACCTGCCGGCCAGACGCAGGAGCGCGCGGACCCGGAGCATGGCAGAACGGACAAAGACTCAGAGATGGCCAGACAGGTGGTCCAAATTAGGCTAATAATTTATTTATCCACCTGCCCAGGTCTCGCCATACTCCAGTGTGGGAAGTCCTGTCGCTCCTCCTTCCGTCAAGACCACGAAGGATGGACTCGGAAGACGTTCCGTGGGAGAAACTTCACGTTCGACATCCGAGGGATTGCATGACTAGCTTGTCCCTTCAAATGGGAATCTGGAGTAAAAAAAAGAGCGGCATGGCAAGGTGTGGAGCAAAGAGCAAATGGAGAGTGGCTCCAGGCACTTTCTGGTTATTGTCATGGACAACCGATTGTGTTTCCCCTCCAGAGCTCAAGAACTGTGTTTGCAAACTCAGATCCCGGATAATCACAGCAGCAACTTTTACTTTTAGAGAAGGCGAGAGCGCATGGCGAGGCGATGGGCAGTAGCCCAGTCGGTGGCCCAGAGGGACAGTGCGTAAGACTCCTGGCATTTTGACTCTGCGGCGAAAAATCTATTGTAGGGTCCACCCAGTTTATCTTTACTGTTTAATCCTTACTGCTTCAAAATTGCAACAGCCAGAACACAGTAATTCTGAAGATCTTGGAGTAAGGAGGTAAACTTCTATTTCATTGATGCAGTGAAATTTTTTTTATTGGTGTGTGTGTGTGTGTGTGTGTGTGTGTGTGTGTGTGTGTGTGTATTATTAAAAAAAATAACCCTGCTAAGTCCTCTTAAGGAAAGTCTCGATTCTTTCATGTGTCTTTCTGGGTTTTACAGGAAAAGAGAAGAAAGAAAATATATCAGGTTCCTGCCATTTGGCACACGGATTCAAAGGAGAAAAACACAACCCAAATTCTTAGAAAACATTTTTAAACAATAGATGGCCGTTGTGTTTTGGCAGGAGAGTGAGTACTGTATGGTTGAAATAGAAAACCACCTGACTGTCTCGTTGAAAGCAGTAACATTTCCAGAATACGCACCCCACCCCATGTGCACACCGCATATCGACTGTCCTTTCCCGCAGCAGATGCTTGAAAAAGCCAGGCATCGTAAGCAAGGATGCAATGCTCTCCACACTTCTCTCTCTCTCTCTCTCTCTCTCTCTCTCTCTTTCTCTCTTTCTTTTCAGGAATCACAGCAAAACAGCTAGGAGGAGAACCAGGAACCTAAAGGCTAACTGGAGGAAGGCGCCTTGTTACTCCCTCTGGTGCAGGCACTGGGCCGCTGTCCTCCGTTTATTGTTAGTGACTGCCAAAGGGACCACTCTCCTGTCCATTGAGACAACATAACCCGACAAATACTATTTCTTAAAATAGCGCCAAAATAAAGACCTAGTACTGGCCCTGGTGACCACCAATTCAGAACTGCCCGGTGCAATGTGTATTCTAAGACCCTGGGGTTTTCATGTGTGCCCTTGCTGATAACAAACCAGGAGAGTCACATAAATACAAGAAAATGCTATCATTTACAACTACCACCAAAATCGCTTGCCTCTAAAATAAAATACCTCATGGTGTATGGCATATACCTTTAGTCCCAGTACTCCAGAGGCAGAGACAAGCAGATCTCTTGTGAGTTCCAGGGCAGCCTGGTTTACATCGTAAATTCTACCAAGGGTTATACAGTAAGACCACATCTCAAAACATACATACATAAAAACAAATATAAAATTAAATAGCTGGATTTATTTAAGTGAAAGGACCCCACCCATATGAATTCAGATATACTTTGGGAATACTAAGAGACATGCCAAAATATATGTGCTAATAAGCATTAGCTTATTAGCTAGTAAGTTTATCTAAGCATTTAGATAAACTTTTGTCTTTTGGTACATTTGCCTACCACTAAGACTTGAGCTACAAATTAAACTACAAATATTGAGTTGAATTAAGGCTAGCTTTAAAAAATATTTCATTTTTGAACATTAAAAATGTGTGTGTGTGTGTGTGTGTGTGTGTGTGTGTGTGTGTGTGTGATATTCGAAGGTACCTGCAGAGTAAAAAGAGTTACAGGTGATGAATGGTGAGCCACTTGATGTCTATGGAGTTTGGGAAGCAAACTCTGGTTCTACGGAAGTGCAGCAAGTGTTCTTAAACCCTAAGGCACCTTTCTGCCTTCATACCAGTTTATTTAAAATAATAACTGTAGATATGATTACACTGAGAAATCATTATAAACTTGAATGTTCCATTCCACAAGGTCCTAAGCCCTCAGACTTTCTTTCCTTGCTACGTGAGAACCAGGAGCATGAGTTCACTAATTCCTGGAATGGGGAAGGATGGAAAATGATTTTGAGTTTCTTCCCCTCTCTCTGTTGACTGATGACAGTTTACTTTTGTCTTTCAGATTCTTGGATGATTCACAGGGATTTGAAGCCCAGATTATGCCTCCAAATACAATGGTTGCAAAAACAACCAAGAAAAAACAAGAAGAAAGGGTGCTAAAGGTCACTGATAGCTCTCACCTTCTCCAAGAAAATCTTTGAGCTCTGAACTAACCATCACATTTGGTGGGCTTCCTGGGAGCCAATTAGAGATTTCTTTCTTTGATGTCAAGCAAGTGTCTTATGCAAATGAGAAACAGGGCTCTTATCAATTCTTTACACCTGAGTAGGAAAGATTGGCAGCAGAGCCCACATTTTGGTGGATCAGGAAGGGTCTAAAGATTTAGGCTGAAGGAATAGGGGTGAGGGGAGGGAGAGGGAGAGGGGAATTACATGTGAAACAAGCCTGTTCCCTAACTTGAATTAATAATAATAATAAGAATAAAAATAAAAAAAAAATTCTAGAAAAAAAAAAAGATTTAGGCCACAGCAAGAGGGCTTTTGAAATGGGAATAGACATAGTCTGGCTAGAGTACTCCAAGGGCTAAATGTTTGGATTCTACCCTCCTCAAACCAACATTTCTCTTGTGCTGGCCAGTGCAATGTATACTCTAAGATCCTGGGGTTTTCAAGTGTGTCCTGGTTATAGGGAACCAGGAGAGTCACATAAAAACAAGAAAATGCTACAGTTGCAACTACCACTAAAATCACTTGCCTCTAAAATAGAATACCTCACGGGGTGTGGCACACACCTTTAATCCCAGCACTCCAGAGGTAGAGACAAGCAGATCTTTGTAAGCTCCAGGGCTGCCATTCCAGGTTACCAAACACCTTGTTTGTAAGGTGTCACAGGTTCCTTCTATGGCTGTGAATGTCATGTTACCTTCCATGTGCTAATGTGAGAAACCAAAGAAAGGGTCACAAAACTCACCCCAAAGGATGGTGAAGAGAGCAAGGGCACAGACAGGGACCCTCTGGACAACCCTACCCCAGATCTAGAGCCTTTCAACTAAATTTCAGATACTGGGGTTGGTTGGGTGGGGTAGAGGTGTAGGGGAGAGTGTGTGGGGGGTAGCAGAATTCAGACTAGATACTTCATATCTGACTTGGACTCCACTGTGAATTCCAGTTTAACAGGTTCCCTCATTCTCATGCAAATTGTGAAAGTCAATCTATATGTCACAGTTATTAAATATCTTTTTTAAAAGATTTATTTATTTGTGTATATGAGTACTTTGCATGTATGCCTGCATGATGGAAAAAGCATCAGACAGAAGGCGGCATCAGATTCCATCATAGATGG